CTCTTTCTGTCAGACTGACCTCCTTCTTTTGCTGGCCTTTCCTTCAGCTTCCTCATCTTACTCCTTTGCATTCTTAGCTGTATTATCTTATAACTGCCATTTTCACAGTCTTCCTCAATTCTTTCTGGCCTGTCTCAGTCTATCAGGGTTCTCCAATTTTCCTTTTCTTTGTTTCAGAGTTTTTTCCTCTCCTTTTCCTACTGGGCTGAAGCAAACGTCTATGAGTTATTCTTCTGGGGTCCTATTAGGGCTCCTAGGGTTGACCTGGCAAAGGATCCACTGCCTAAGTCAAGAGAAGGTCCTCTGCGTGCCTATGTGCCTACTCTTCCCTCCACAGCCTTGCAGAGCAAATGACTGTCAAGAAAGGTTACTTCCCTGTGGTTTGGTGGGGACGGGTTTTGCTCTCTCCATAAGTGATGTTCTGGTTGTGAACACAAGCATCTGCTGGTCTTTGGTCTTCTGTTCAATGTGGTGCTTCCCTTCTTGTTGCTACTTCTGTGCAGCAGAAGGCAAGCACTGTCAGCAGTTTAAAAGGAGGCACAGGGGCACTATTACAATGAGAGACAAGTAAGAAGCACAGTGAGAGAATGAAAATTTACAGTAACACTTTGGGGTTCCAGATTCTTTCTACCAGAAAACAGGACTGGCATCTGGGCCTTTATGCACTTCAATGTATCCCTGTTTTTTGGGGAGTCGCATTTACAGTATCTATCCATTCTTTAATATTCTTTACTTGAACTCACTGGTTCAGAACACTGCACAGACCATTTATATGGAGAATAAGGTATGATCCCAACAGAAATTTTAGCTTGTGGAAGAATAAAGGCTATGATTTCACAAGATTTTGGGTGGGCCTAAGTTCTACTTCATTATCAGTACTTCAAATTCACACAACAGAATACAGCATTTTCTAAAGGAATTTTTCCATTTAAGAGGACTTGCTACAGAGCCATCATGACATCACCATAATCAGTGCATTCTCTCAGAGATCCATACTACATTTCTCCCTCTGCAATAACTAAAAAACACACAGACAAACCAACCCCCTCAAAGCATGCAAAAGCAAATGAAACCCATAGGTTCCTGCTCACTTGAGCAGGAGCCAGAGAGGAGGGGAGTTTGGACACTCCTGGAGAAGAAGGGAGTTCCTACACTGTGTGACAGATGTGGCACAGGAAATACAGAGCTGCTGTGTCTCAAGAGTAATCCCTTCCCTTCGACTCTTCCTGGCCTGTCTGTCTTTTCCCTCTCCTTATTACAATTCCATATCCTTGTCTCTGTCCTGCTCTTGCTCCTCTACCTTCCATATGCTATCCCTTAATCCTCCCTTCCTGCTGGAATTTGCATTTTTCATTTACTTAATTTTTGGTGCTTTCTGGATTTTTTTTCTTTGGCTTGAGATTACAGATCCTCTAGATAAAATTTTAAAAATGTCATTTTGATTGGCTGTGTCAAGCTTTCTTCACACATACAGATTTGTGTTTGTGTGACACCCCAGGTCAGAGTCAGGCAATGCTTGCAGCATTAGCTGTATTCAGGGGTTGCTGCCTCTCTCCTCAAGCTGTCCAGCTCATGTAAAAACTGGCAGATAGGAATGCCTTCTGGCACAACTGCAGTGCAGCCTGGTTGTAAATTAAGCTTGATCCTACCTAGAGAGTTCAGGTCTTGTGATTGTTGTTTCAGTTTTGTTCTTCCCAAAGGAGAAGTGAGTGCTGTGCCAATCCCAGATGAAGCTGGATGGGGCATGGTCAGGGCTGTGGTTTGAGCTGCAGCTCTGTAGAGAAGAAAGTTGGCATCATAGCTGGAAGGGTTTTTTAAGGAACTGTGTCTTGGGAACCTGTTGTACAGATGATTATAAATGTACTTGACTTGCCTACTTAACAGGCCAGTACTGGATGCTAGGGCACTTAGAAAAGTGTGCATTAAAGTTACATTTCTAACCTCAGAGGATATTAAAAATTAAGGATGTACATGCTATGGAAAACACATCTACTGATTCAAAAAAATTTAGTATATTCCTGTTTTATAAAACAAGAAGAATTTATGTGAAGTGTAAATAGTAACCTTACTATTACCATTGGTCATTGACTATTTTCTTAGTATCTTTCAAAACAAGTGATATTTTAATACAAATCAAATCTAGAAAAAACTTTTTTACTAACAGTAACTCTTCAATTCATGCAATACATACATGTTCAAATTAAGGAGCAAAATGAGCTTTTATGTATGTAGTTCCTCACAGCTTTAATGTTGATTTAAAAAATTATGTTGGTCTCAATGAACACAATGAACAAGTCCAATTAAGCAAAAATTCCTGAGAAAATGAGGATAAACTGACTACAAAGAGACGTTTAAACTGATCCCTGTAGTGTTAAAAGGCATACAAATGGAGCAAAAGGCATTTCTGGCTAAGAACTCAAAGGAGATTTGTCACTGTCATGCAACATGATCAAATGGATGACAGAAGAACATATCACACGGCAAGAGAAACAAGCATCGTACTTCAATTTGTATTTTTGCCTATAGAATTCAAGAAACATTTAAAGATTGATAGAGAGTTGTATGATTTGAAGTTAAAATGAGAAATACAGTCCCTCCCATGATTTTAATCAAGGAACTGAAAAATAATTACTGAAATATGGGTTTAAAACTTTAGAAACATTGATTTCTGGACAAACTCTAATTAGACTCCCTTCCTAGGCTTTGTTTAAATTTATTAATATTTCTTACAAGGAGCGATGATGGCTTGTAAAATGCTGTCAGCCTGTCACAGTAAGATACACTCAAAGTAAAGCAAATCACAGACTCAGCAATTTTAAAAAATGTTTTATAATAAAGCACAGGAAACCAAATCCACAATTTTTCAAATCCAGATAAATAAACAGTAAATATCATGCTTTTGATTCTAAACGTGTTTTGCCTTTTGAAATGGGATCTGCAAAAAAGGCATTCCCAACTTGGATATCTGCAAAAATACATCTTTTGATATATTTGCAGGAAGACAGACCACATATTTTGCACATAAATGAAAATCTTTTCAAAACACTGCTGGAAACTGAGACAAAACAGCTCTGTGAAGAAACTGCTGAGTAAGGAGTAGTTTGGTAACTTATTCTGCAGAAAACAGCAAATTAACTCTTGGGCAAGATTATTTCAAATATATATATAAATATATACAAATACACAAACCCAAAGATCTTCCCAGTTAAAACCAAACAAATATAAAATTGTAACAAAAGCAGAGAACTCTCTGGGGCCTTGTGATCTTTAAGAAGAGGTGTTTGAAAAACTTCAAGGGGACAAAAAAAAAGAAAAGGAAAAAAAGCAAAAAAAATCAGTTACTCTATTATCATCATTCTTTAAAAAAAATCAGATCTTTGCCATGCCTGATCTCAGGAACAGTTTAATGAATGAAGTAAAGCAACAAACAGACAAGCAGTAAACTCACCACATTCAGATTTTGAGTGTCATGTTGGTTGTGATTTAATTGATGTGAATGTTACTTTTGATTTCGGTGCAATCAGGGCAAACGTCTTCCTTTTGTGTATAGCAGAAGCAGAATGACTGCAAGCTACTTTCCAAGATAGACTTTATTCATATTACTAAATCATAAGAGGCTGTGAATGGGAAGAGCTGTGTCATGGGCCACCCAGCTACTTTGTTGCTTGTTATTATAGGAACTTTACCTTTTCTGAATAGCTGAATTTTGCATCTCACCCCACACTTCTGCAACATTGTAAGATAACAAAATTACTTGTTAACAACCTGTAAGCAGTCTTCTAATATTACTTTAATATTTATATCCTTTCAAGGCTTTGCACCCTTTGATTAGGGTCAGGGCTGTCTGTACAAATTAAATGACCATTACAGGAAATATAAACATGCTATTTACAAGTTCACAATTCTTTATTTCTATACAGTTCTGATGAGTATCTTTTGTAGTTGTAGCTTAAGCGCAGTGTAGAACTGGCATGCTTCTGATATTCACAAAAACATACTAAAAAAGTAAAATAATTAATGATAAATTGCGCACATGCAAGGATATTGTAAAATGAATCCATTGCCTTAAGCTAAGAATTTATGTAATTTTTATATACCCTAACAGTTTGCCTTCCTGTGTACTTTTGATGGAAATATTCCATGAAAAATCCCATATTTTCTTTAGGATAATATTTCACATTCTCTAAACCTTCCATTAATTTTTCTACATGACATTCAGATCACCTTTAACGAAAGAAGGGAAAAGCCTCAGAACACATCTACTTTTGTTATCACACTATAAATCCTAGCTCAGGGATTATGTCAATTATCTGATTTACCTCTACAGAACAACTGAAGAGTTTATGCTTGTTACCCTTATCATTCGTCGTACATTTGACTCAGTTATTTATGAGAAAACTGTCCTTAAAGGATTTAATGAAAAATAATATTGGCACAAATTATTTGACTGTGGGATTAACATAAATCCATCCAACATTCAAATTCAGTTCAGTTAAGAAAATCAATATTTGGAGTGGTCACCTTGAGTGATTTAAGATGAGTTTTAACAAAGATGTCTCCATAATCCTTTTTCACGTGTATATTGTTGGCATTTCACTGCTCAATAACATTCTACTCAATAGACCGTGGTTGATACATTTCAGTTCTTCAAATTCTGATGCTGTTGCTGAATAATCCAGTATGCTTTTGCATCTCTTATTAAAAAAAAAGAAAGGACATCCACTGACAAGCACCAGATTCAGGCAGAATAACCAGACCCAGTTGTTCTTCTCTGGAAAATCATTGCAGCCACCTTCTTCTAAACCAAGACCCCAGTCATAAAAATGTGGGGTGGCTGTTGGACAGTTTTTTCAGGTTATGCAGTGATAATGAAGAGACTTTACATCATCCCTACGTGTTGCTTTTAAGAAGCCCTTCACCTTTTTCCTTCAGACTGTGACAGTGATGCTGCTGACGGCAGCATCAACCTGGTTTCTTCTGGGATCCACCGGTGAATGCCTTTAAAAGTCCAAGGGCCGAATCATCATGGTGGTGGAGCGTAAGGAGTAGCTGGGGCCTTTGAAATAATGCCACTTTATGCCATTGAGCTTTCCATGGTTTTGCCCAGCTGTGTAGAACATCCCATTGAGATTGGAAGGGCCGCAGGCATCAAACCACCACCCTGAAAACATTAAGAAGAAAAACAATGAATCTGTATTAATTAATCTAGGCATTTTTAGTTTGTTTTATAGTATTCTGGTATTCTCAGGCTCATAAATAACACTGGTGTGGTGCTGGTGGGTGTATTTTCATTTTTTTCTCTTTTGTGCCCTCTGTAGCCAGTGGTGCTGGAGGATGCACAGTTGTATTTATGGAGTTGGAAAAGCATTTAATTCTTAACTCATTCTGTTTTTATACGCAGTGTGTGAAGCAGGAACAAAAAAGACAAAGTGCTTTGCATGTTTAGACAGCACTACACTTCACTAATCTCATGTAAACCTCAGAAAAATATGATAATTCACAAATATTTTGCATAACATCAGTTGTTCGGTTATTTTGAGTATAAGCATTGTTGAATTTTGTTTACTGGTCCTTTTCTGCTGCTTTAACTGTGATTGTTCAATTGTCCAGACCGTTTGCTTTTGATCTCAGTTTAGATGTTCCTAGTAAACAATGGGTCATGAGTATGATGGTGCTGACCTGTTATAGTAATTACAAAATTATAGGAATAGACAATCAGTATTCAGAATGGTGTACAAAGAAACAGGAAGACTCTTTCTTTAAGACTTATGATAAAATTATAAACAAGACTCTGCTAATGAATGGAAGGACCAAGTGAAGAAGACAATTATACCACTGTAGGATGCTGACAGTCTGAACACCTATGTGCATGGATAGATGATTTAGATGGTTACCTGACTGTGCATACATTTAAGTGACGGTATGGTCACCTTCAGTCATGGTATATTCATTACGTGTACGGTTTGGGTCAGAACAGTGCGTTCAATCCTTAATCTTATTCTGAATGGGAAAACCTATATTAAATCTTGAGCTTCCTAATCTTGATCTTGAAATGTGCCAAATGTTTTTGGGTCAGCAGCATCAGGAGGGTCCTCACTCAGATCCATCTGACATTTTTTCACTTCTCTGCAAAGAGAACCTCTAAAAGAGGTTTATAAGCACTTCATTTGCATGTCTACAGGTAGCAGAAAATTACTAGCTACCTGGGTATCATTGACTACAAAAAGATATTTAAAATGTTACTGACTGATGTCATCAGATGCGGCTTCCTACTCATTAACCCTTTGAACTCTGTGTGCAATTGCATATATTGTATTCTACTGGAAAGACAGGGCAAGAAATGTCTTGTCCAGATGCTTTTCCATCTAGTTCACTGCTCCAGCAGCTGCATTGTAAGACTGTTCTGAAAACTGAGGTGACACAAATTTAGAAAAAGAAGCAGAACTTTTCTTTCAGAGGGCAAATCACTAATCTGGTTTACAGAACGGCCCTGTGAATAGTTGTGTTGGCATAACTGAAAGAGTAATAAACTGCAAAGTTAGGATAAAATAGAAGTGTAACAGCTCAGGAACTTCTCAACCTGAGTTCTCTGCCAAAGAGAGCCATACCTTCACCTTTGTGAGTGCTCTGTTAACATAGCACTGAAAATAAACCAGAAATGTTTATCAAGTACTTGTGAATGTTACTAACAATGACAGAGGTTTTGCTACCATTTGTATGACTGAATGTAGAAAATTCAAACTTGCTAGAAGTGCAGGTTTTGTTGCAAACAATATGCAAAAAAAGGTCATCTCACCTTTAGACTTCTGCAGTGATGGCATGTATATATGTCTTTAACCAATGGAGAAAATGGAGTCAGTGGTGAAATACAGTGTGAATCTTCAGATCAATTTTATATTGTTGCTTTAAGGTGAAAGTAATCAGTCAACTCTCTTGTCTACATCCCCAAGATCTTTTCTTGTTCAGGTGAATTTTAAATTGCCATGGGAGTTAGAGTTTTAAGGAAAACTCCGTATAACACAAAACTTGGCAACGTCGAGATTACAGAACACAAACTGGTAAAGATAAACTAAGTGACATGCAACTCCACTGAAAGTAGTGGGAGTTTTGCTGTATATCTTGATCGGAATAGAATTTTCTCTCCAACACCTTACAGGATATCTACGTAATTTAACAGAAATATGCTTATTTCAGACTGAGGAAGGCAGAAAGAATCCCCAGACTACAAAGAGCCAATTTTCCCAATATCAAAAATATATTAACATCAATGGCTAGGAGCTCTATTTGTGGGAAAGATTTCTGCTGGTTTTTTTTCATAGTAAGACCTACAGGCTTTGTGAATCTTTAACAAAGGTCTTACGCATCTTTCTATGTAATATGGTTGTAATCAACATTTGCCTTCATGCATGAAGGCACATAAGTTCATAAACACCAGGTGATGGCTTTTGCTTTTGGTGGTTAAATGTCACTTCTGTTTAAAACGCTATTTCAGCCTACATGTCACAGCACTGTAATCTTCCCAGGATCCTCTGCAAGCCTTTATCAAGTATCACTGGTAAAGGCAAACTGGTCATCTGGCAAGTGGCTACTGAATTCTGCAGGTGCCACCGTAGACTGAAATGCAGAATTTTAAATTTTCAGTGTGTTTCCCACTCTGACTTTCGGAAAAGGAATTAGACTCTGAGACACTCATTTTAGACAACGTGCACTGTCCCAGTGAATCCTGCAGTTTCATCATATTTGGTGGGTAGTCTTTTATGTACCTATAATAAATGTATTGTATGAAGGTATTTTAAACTATGTCTCACTGCTATTGATAGCATACTGACTGTGGTTAACCTTCAGATCTAGTGCTTACTCTGTGCTTTGTATTCAGATCCAAGTAATTTATGTTTCTAGTCTTGTAAAGTAATTTCTTAGATTTTGGATAATACTTAGTGGGTTTTTTTCAGAAGTAACACTTCATAATGAAATCTTGAGGGAAGAATTTACGCCAGATGAATTCTGGCAATCCTCTATTTTGATACGATTGACCTCCCTTTGATTACAATGTTATACCTAAGGGGACAATAACCAAAGAAAAAGTTGTACAGCTGATGTTTTACTGTAACCAGAGTATAATCTTGTAGAAAATTAAGATGAAGTTAAACAGAGGATATCTAATCCTCATTTTTCAAAGCTGCAACACAGACGCAGCTGGGTTCTGTTTATGGTATTGGGATGAAGACATGGCAAACTGTGATAGTTACCATTTCATCTTAAAGGAACAGCAATAGATGTGTAAATGTTCTTTTCAGGGAGAAGATTTTCAGCAGTGCCCTACAAAATCTACACAGAAAACAGAATGAGCTGAAGAAACACAAAATTTTATAAACGTTTTGTGAGAACCTGCTCAAATCTCTCATCATAGATTTCTTCTAAAGAAATACTTCTTTCAAAATGTACTTTAATAAGCACCTTTTGTTTTTCTAATATACTCTTCCTTTTAGTGAGAGTGTATGAATATTTTTAATATTCCATTAAAATGTTTGGTTTACTTTCTCTCTGTCATAATTTTTTAAGTGTTTTTTCTTCTCCATATGACTATTTCTCTCCGTCCTCCCCTGCAATCCTCTAAAAACTCTTTGTTCCCCATAGGGCCTCAGTTTATCACAAGACTTCCTACTGCATGTCTCAACACCAAAATCCACATCTTTGAATGGATGGAAATGTTCAGATGCCTTGTGCATTGGAGGAAAGAGGAATGGAAGCAGTGTCTTTCTTGGTAGGCATGAGGAATTGAGGGAATGTAAAACAGAGGTTTCTGAAAGAGATAGCTGCAGCACTCCTGCTGCAGAAAACACCAAATAAAGCAGGTCCAGAGCTATGAGACAGTCTGACGCAAGGAAAGGCTCTCAGTAGCTAGATGTTGGTTTATTCCCCAGAATTCACAGGGTTTTCCTCCTGCAAAGATTCTTGTTTATGTTTAGCTACATGGTAACAGCTTTCCCAAGTAAGTATCAAGTCTTCTCTGAACAGCAGTAAGATTTTTAACCTTAGAGATAACTTTTGGCAATGATTTCCATGGGATATTTGAATTGTGCATGAGAATCATGAAGTGTGGGTGTTACGAGAAATAATAACAGAGGCAAGATTTTAAAGTGAGTATTGAAGTGGTAAAGAGGAGGCTTGCATGAGACAGTTAATAGAGTTTTTATTCAGAAACACAGGTAGTTTCTTCAAGTTGTTGTGATCATGAAGTCACTAATTGCTTATTGAGCAATTATTGCAATTAAGGCCCCCTCGTTCTTTGTGGACTCTTCTGCTTTGGTCTTTAATTAGCATTGCTATTAACTCTCGCAAGTTGTTAAATTTCATGTCAGCTCTCTTCACTAAATTAATGTGTTTTGAATGCTTCAGCCTATTTCAGCCACCTATCACCAGATAGTTCAGACCTGCTTGTGCTATATCTTTGGCTGAATATGAACCTGTCTTGAGATAATTTCTACAAATTCTTGCAAGGAAACTTCCTAATAGAAGAGTATTGCTCAAATGAGCAATGATATTACAAGAAAAAAACATGTCCATCTTTTATAAAGGTTTCCTGAAGTCACAAGGTTATTTTTTATACAACAGAATCTTTTTGTCAAAAGCAACATAAAAAAGGCTTTTTTATGCCAAAGCTAACAGCTTTTCTTTTTTGGCTGGTTGTATAAATTGTAATTAAGCATGTACATACAGTAAATTCTTCGTTAGTAACATAGTGCTCATCAATTCGCGAGTGTGCTGTAAATCTAGTGTGCATTGGGAACTTGCTCATGATCACTCAGGTTTGGTAAGAGGTTCTTAGTTGTCTTTTACATACTAGGAGAATAGGTGTGTAAACCCTGCACATTTGATGGCAGACACTTTGTTAACTAATCTGTCTCTGCTCTCCCACCTGAGTACATTGAATGCCTCCAAATGCAGTAAGATCAATACAATCCATTCAATAAGATCCACAGTATGTTTGAATGGTACATTTGTATGAGTTCATGGGATAAATGGATCCTATGAAAAGCCAATATTTATTTCTATACCTCTGTGTTTGTCCATAAAATTTAGTTCATTGGGCAACAAAGCCAGCAAGAACCTTTTCTAATGCAAAAACGTTGAAATAGTCTTCATTGTTCAAAAGATTTA